CTGAGGGCATCGGTGTGGCCCGTGGCCCGTGGCGTTTTTGTTAATTTAGTTAGATTTAATAAACATTTCGTAAAATATTTTTTGATTTATTTATAAATAACCTTAGGTGTCCGGTACTGGGGGACTTTCCCCTATATAAAATATATAACACTGGTCAACAAAGAAAATGATGCAAACGATTTTAATACTGTTTTTAAGTATATTTCGGGCACTGATTTCAAAAATAACATTGTTTTTTTTCTATGAGCTTTAGTTTTTAAAATACGATATATATGATATATTTTACGATATTAGGTGGGCAACTAAGTTCTCGCTGATTTTTCGATGAAAATGTAACTTTATTATAAAAAAATTGCATCAATTGAGTTCGATACAGTTCTCCAGTGATGGTTTCACTCAACAGATCATAACAAATAACACCGACCTGGTCCCACCATATGTAGAGCATAACTTTTGCAGTGAATATTCGGCCGAACCGATATTTTCTCGTCTTTGGATTGCTGTAATGTATTCATTTTTCATCACCTGCGCCGCTGGAGCAGTTGTTTACAGGCAAAAAAACGTCTCTTGGCTTTAACTCACAAGGAACCGAAGTTTCTTGCTTCTAAATCATCCCCGACGCATGCAATAGCTTGGAAATGGCTTGATGGGTAACTCCTAATTCTAAAGCAAGATCTTCTTGAGTTTGGCACGAATCCTCTTCGAACAAGGCCTTCAATTTGGCGTTTTTGAAGGTTTTGGCCTTTCTTCACGAGGATGGTCGTCAACATCACCAATTTTGAAGCGACAAAACTCTTCACGGCATGTTGTTTCGCTCAGAGCAACATTTTCGTAGGTCTCGATGCACTTGAGTTCCCGTTTTTTTTTTTGAACGGAAGACGAAAATCAACACTCCTCGCAAATAACGATTGTTTGGCATAAATTTGGACATATTCACTTAACCAGAAGTATAGAATGCAAAAACGAAATCAATTATGTATCGCAGCAGTTTGTTTACTTACTCTAAGCTTGCTTCAAGACGTTTTGGATTTGTAAAAATCGACCAACCCTTACTGATAGAGCCATATACTGACAAACAGCGAGAACTTAGTTGCGCGCCTAATACAAGGAACGAAAGTACAAAAGAGTAATACAATTCCGAATGTTATTTTAAGGAGATATGACTACTCGTACATACAAACTTACAAGACCCATTCGGCCTTAGTTGGGACATTAGTTGACACTGTGAAAAGTTCTTTTCCATGACGACCTCGAATGGACCTGGTATCGGCAACTTCTTTGTATCTCAAAAACTAGAGCTGATACAAAAAATGGTTTGCAGATTTGAAATCAGCGCAAAAAATACTATAAGAATCAGCTCTAACATTTGAGGCACAAAAAAATAATTTTTTTTTTGTTGACCTGTTTGTTGAATATATGTTATATATTATATCCAAATATACACACATACATAGTACTTACACACAAATCTATTTTTCTAAGGTATGCTAAAATGTTCAGAAGGTCATCATGATATGTGAAGATATGCGGAAATTTTTATTTTTGATTTTTTTGCGATTATTATAACTTACCCTACAGGAAGTTAGATTTTGAGGTGATGGTTGAAAAAAGTTCCTCCATTGCTATTCTATTTTCAAAAGAAAATCATAAAATTTATCATTCCAAAAGAAATGGTGAAACATATCAATAATAAAAGTAATATATATATTAATAGAGATGGCCTCCGTGAATTTCTTTGAAGGATTTATTACTCGCTTAATTACGCACTATTGAATTGTGTAGAATTTTATATAAAACCAATTATATCTATTTTTGTTTGCTGTTGGACAGCATACGGTAAATATTCGACAATGTTATTTTCTCAAACTAAATGAAATTGTTATCGGTTATGAAAATATATCTACTAAATGCTTGGTTACTATCATCTGTTTGAATTTGGAGGGCCAAATGAAAGACAAAAAAGATATTTGTACCAATACTATGCATTCTACATTTATTAATGAGCAAGTTATTATATAAAAATGCAAAAGTGACTTTTTGAAAAACATATATTTTAATGTAACCTTAAAGCATAAAAGATCATGAATAATCTGACGTTGTTGTCTACACATTATACTTGTATTAAACAACTAATCTTAAAACAATATTAGAATAATTTATATTCCATAAAAAATAAAATTTAAGGATGATCTTGTGGTGGTTTAATATCTCTTATTATATTTTGCGGTAAAATATTACGTGATTATATAATTATCAATACATGAAGAAGAATTTGCGAAAATGTTTACAATAAGGCTTAATAATAATACAAATCAATATTTAACTTGCTTTAGTCGTGACGGCAAGCGATAATTAAAGTTTAATGAATTAGCTTATTGAATTGTGACCTAAAAATATAAGAAAATATTTATTGTGGACCAATGTTGAAATAAAAAAATTTGATGGTCGTTTCTGTAAGATTATTTATATTGTGAAAATAATATAAGAAAAATGTTTAAAATTATATAAATATTCAGTTCATATTCAGTAACTCCAGAATTTAAATCTAAAATTATTTATGCAGAGGTGCAATCTTGATATTTGAAAATGCATTATATTTCTTCAAAATATAATTAATACAATAATTACAATAATTTCAATAGATAAATATTAATATTATCTATTATATATAAATTATTATCGAAAGAGAAATGTATATATTTAGATAGAGTAAAACGGAAATATAGAGTAAAAACGAACCCCACCGTTTCATACTTATACAAGTCAATTGAAACAAATATATATATGCAAACAATATTATATTATGATAGTATAATGATACTCCCAGAATAGGTGTATACAATTTGTATCTTTATGTAAAAATCAATGTATGTATTTAAGTCAAATAAAGCAAATTTTCAAATTAATTAAAAAAACTCCACCGTTATCTCAAGAACAAGCAAAGTTAGAAGTTTTTTAATAATATTTTTAAGTTGAAGGCAAATTATATATATTAGGCCATTACCTTGGCTCTCGCAACGACGCTTTTGTGATTGATTACGATTACATAAACCAATTATAATGGATTTAATTAATTAATTCCGATCAAGAATATGTTTTTTACAAGATATCATTGATGTTTTTGGCATAAATTGATTATGCCTATTGGCAATAATTAATTACTTATTTTCCAAATTCGATAATATAGAAAAAAATAATGTTGGTCGGCTTATCAAATGCCCCTCTTAATACAACATTTACAAATTATATTGAATTTATATGAAAATATCATACTGCTAGTTACGATCAAGCATATAGCTTTTAAAAGATATTTATGATGATTATTATGATTTTTTGACCATTGTTAATATCACTTATTAACTTCCCGTAGGGTAGTTATAGTAATGGGCCAAAAATCGAAAATGAAAATGTTTGCATTTTTCGACGTTTTGAAGGTTTCTGAACATTTTGGCATACCTCAGAAAAAATGGATGTGTGTGTGTTTTGTATGTCCGCATTTTTTCGTTCACGTTTTCGGGTGCACGGATCAACCGATTTTAATAGTTCAATCAATCGATTCCTATTGATAGAGAGATGTGCTGATTGGTTTTTGGCAAAGGCAGGTCCAGCCGTTACGGAGATACGGAGCAAAGAATGCAGAAAACACAAATTGAGTTTTCGAGAGAACGGAGTATCCGATTTGTATGATCTAAAAACCATTCAATTTATAATGATTGAAAAAAGAGGTGATTAGATTTTGGCAAAGGCAGGTCCAGCGATTTCACAGATACAAAAAGCTAAATGTGTAAAAATGACTGTCATTTTGAGAGAACTAAGCGTCCGATTTGAGTGATTCAAAGAACTTTCTGCTTGTTTCAACAAAATAATTGCTTTTGGAAAAAAATTGTTTCAATTTTTTTATTTTTTTTTTTTATTTTTTTGTATATTGAAAATAATTCAGATTTTAATTTTGATTCTGACTAAAATTCTAATATACTTTAAACAAATAATAATTATAATCCTTATAAATATAAGACGAAAACATTTAATATTCCCAGAACATTTTGTTACGGTACGGAAAGTTCCAGCACTAGTTTTCCAAGTTAAAATTCCAAGAAGAACTGAATTTTGGTCGGTTTATCAAATACCCGTATCACTCTCACATTAAAAAATTATGTATAAATCGTGTAAATTTAAAGTTAGAAGTGCAAATCAGATGGGAATCAAGTTTTTTATTTGTAATAATCTATTTAATACAGAATATTAGTTCTTCCATGTATTTTCCATATTTTTCGTTATTTTTAAAACAAATATTCTCCAGTCCATCTGAAAACAAACTGCAGTCAATATGGGGTAAGGCGGGAGGCAATATTGGTAATATAGGCCAAAGATTTAAATATTGTCCCCCGATTTTTCTCCCCTCTGGCCGAGATTTACTGGGGTCAATTTATTCAAATTCAAATAGACATTTTTTACTGTTTATAGATACTTATTATCATTTATAACATTTTCAATAAATACATTTAAAAGGCATACTTGTAAATTAGCAAATAACTGATAGAATAAAATATGTTATCTTAAAATTGATTAATATTTTGCTCAAAATATATATTATCTCATAATGAATATTATCTTACTGAAAGATGGATTGAATTTGATTTCTATCTAAAAACATGTTATAAATCCTTAAAGTTTTTGACCCAATCAATTTTATGTTACAAAAAATATTCTTGTATTAAATAAACTAAACAAAATTTTGAACTTGACTTCTTTTCTGTTTATAAAGTCAAGCGTTCTAAATAGTCATTTATTATTTATGTAATTATTACAGAAGCTTTATTACAGAATTATCTTTATCAGTTATTATTTACGGATTCCATTTTTGATGATAAGATTTGAATTAAGAAAAACACTTGATATAAGATTTTGGTGATAAATATGATTTCAATTTGCAAACTTTGATTTGTTTTTATACTTTACACTCTTAAGTATATTTATTTATAAAAATCACATCAATAGATATGTATCCTACACGTCATCACATTTCACGTAAATACACATATTTATATATATATATATATATATATATATATATATATATTAATTGTTTAATATGAACAAAACAGCACTCAGATTTGTTTAACACAACTTTATTTTATGATTACAGACGTTTCGAGACCATGGTGTGTCTCATCTTCAGTGTAATTTCAAAAACAGTTACTTATATACTACACATTCTTTAATAATTTATTTAAATTTCATTTAATTTTTGGTATACAAAAAACACCAACTATTCCTTGCAATGCTTGACACCGTACTAAAGAAACATATAACACTTACAGAAATATTCTAAACAAATTTGAAGTACTTATATAGATGGAGACAGAGAGGGTATCATTATAATGTAAACAGAAGGAGTGCTATCGCATACAAAATCGATAAAAATGAAAAAACAAATTAATTTATTGAAAAGAATAAGATAAATGAAAAAATTTATAAATTATTAATGATGTTTATATAAGTGTCATGTAAAATATTTGTGTCGGTTCTTAGATTTATGCTATTGTTAGTCCGAACTATTAACATTGATTCTGCCATGCTCCGTTTAAATAAGTCTTTCTCATGGAATAAAATTTAGGGATTGTCAAAATCAAACTTATGGTTGTTGATATTAGCATGATCCACAAGTGTACTTTTAAATTTTTTGTTATCTATTTTTTCACATTGTAATTCATGTTGCCTGAGTCTCTTTTCTAAGTTCTGGCAGGTCTGGCCAATATAAGAGCAATTGCAATCCAAACAATTTACTTTATAAACTATATCTTTCTTTTTTGTTAATGGAGTTTCATCTTTAATTTTGGAATATAAAAATTTTAATTGTTTTAATGGAGAAAAAGTAATACGAATATTGTGTTTTTTGAAAAGTCTTTTTGATAATTGGTTAAAATTATTGTCAAGATATGGAAAATTAATGAAAAAAGTTTTTTCAGGAACACTTGTTTTGCCAGGCTCTTCCGGTTTCTTATCAAAAGGTTCAAGTAATTTTGCGACTCTATTTTTAATAATTGGACAAATTAACTTATATGGAAAATTATTGCCAAGTAGGATCGTTTTAACTAATTTTATGTTTGTATCATAAAACAGGGGATCAGATAATAAAATAGCGTGATCTACAAGATTTAGAATGGTAGAAATTTTTATATTGAGAGGAACATGCGAATTAAAATTAATGTATCTCCCGGACCAACTATCTTTTCTGTACCAGTCTGTATAACATACACCGCCTCTATTAATGAGTTTTACGTCAAGAAATGTAACGTCGAATCATTTTCGCATGTTCGCATGTTCCTCTCAATATAAAAATTTCTACCATTCTAAATCTTGTTCCAGCAATTTGTCTTAAGGCACGATGCCATACACCCCACCAGTTAAATTTTATTTTTGGACCAGCCTTTGCCAAATACTATTTGGCAGAATGATTATAATCAGCACGTCTCCTTATCCTGAATTGTTACAGAGATTTTAGATATTACTTTATTTTGGAGTTTTTATGTACAAGAAGTCTCCTAAAATATAATATTTTATGTATAGTTTTAACTTATCGCTTCAAGTAATTTGTTCATATTTGAAAATAAGTATACGCAAAGCTCACAAACAGAAAACAATAGTATCACAATTTCTTTCAAACATTCAAAAGATAACTACTGAAATATTTCTTCATCTCATTGTATTTTTTATTATCAGTTGTTACAGAAATAGTAATTGGTTCAGATGAGGTAGGCGTCACAGAAATCGGACTGGATGCCGAAGAAGTATACATAGTTCAAGGATACAACAAATCTAGAGAAACTGTAGAATATTCTAACATCAACAATGACACAGTACAAGAATCTAATGATGATGACAATGATGACTTGAGAACATTTACTCTTCACATACGGACTTACAGGAAAACTATATATAGAACATTAGCAAATGGAACTGTTGTAGAAGACTTTACATGCGTAGCTCCTAGTTCTGTAGAAGACTTTCCTGAAGACTTATTCACTGGTGAGTAGTTTTTATTTTCGAATTCATAGCATTGGCCAACCTTAGTTACTTTAAAGAAGAAAATGATAAATTTTGCGTTTCATCCGATTTACTTCTAGGAAAACTAAACTTTCTTATCTATTTTCGTACAATATGATATCCTACCCTGTGACATAGGATAGAAAATAGAATACCAAATTCAAATAATTTCCTCACAACTATCCAACTATCAATAGAACCAAAATTTTGCATCCTATCATATCTTTTTACTTTGTTTTTATCATATTATAATATATAATTCTAAACTTTGATGAATTCTAAAACTTGATGAATTGTAGTATGTTAGATTACAAAATCTATCCTTATACTAAGTTTTATCAGGGTCTCAAAAAAATATTTTGAAAGTAATTATAAAAAAACTGCTCGGTCGATCTTTATGAAAACTAATCAGCGCGATTCCCAACCAATATCTCTCAAACAGTTTTTGAAATTTCAAAATTAATTAAGGTTGTTGCTCTAATGTAAAAAAACCGAGAGAATAGATTTAATTTCTAAAATTGGTCCAGACTATAGATCAAAATTCGTCTCCCATATACACACATACTTTTTACAAATCTGGTCTCATAACAAAACAATACTAGTGGTTTATGGCATCGTGCCATAAGACAAATTGCTGAAACTTCCCGTACCGTGACGAAATGTTTGAGGAATATTAAATATTTTCAAATAGATTATTATAAATATTATAACATTGCCTAATATATATATAAGAACAATTGTTACTGAATTTTAAAGTTGAAATTATTTGTTAAAGTATATTAGAACTTTAGTCAGAACTAAAATTAAAATCTGAATTATTTTCGATATACAAAAAAATTTTTTTTTGAAAAAAAAAATTGAAACCAAAAATGTTTTTCCCAAAAGCAATTATTTTGTTAAAACAAGCAGAAAGTTTTTTGAATCATTCAAATCGGACGCTTAATTCTCTCAAAAACTGCCATTTTTTGCACATTTAGCTCTGTATCTTCGAAATGGCTGGACCTGCCTTGGTCAAAAGCTAATCACCTGTTCTCCCAATTATTACAAATTGAATGTTTTTTAGATCATTCAAATCGGATACTCCGTTCACTCAAAAACTCGATTTATATTTTCTGCACTCTTTGCTCCGTATCTCCGTATCGGCTGGGCCTACCTTTGGCAAAAACTAATCAGTATATCTCCCTATCAATAGGAATTGATACGAATCTTCCTATCAATTTAAACCATTCAATTCGGTTGATCCGTGGGCTCGAAAACGTAGACGAAAAAATGTGGACATACAAAACACACAAACACACACATCCATTTTTTCTGAAGTATGCCAAAATGTTCAGAAACCTTCAAAGCATGAAGATATGCAAAAATTTTCATTTTAGATTTTCGGCCCATTACTATAACTACCCTACGGGAAGTTAAAGATTATAAAATCCATTTTTTTTTTCTTGAAAACATAAACTTCTCTTTCGGGACATTGATAATATCTTTTAATTATATATATGTAATATAATTCAAACTTATTATTGCACTTAGCTTATACTTATACTGTATGTAACTGGATCCTTTTCAAATTTTGGATTGTTTAAATAATTCTTAAAATTATTATAATAAACTGATTGAAGCTTGATTTGTTTCGAACTTAATGCCGCTTTTAAGATTTTTATTTTAATTTTTGTTTGCAATTATCATGATTGTGTTCTTTCGATCAAAATAAGTGAAATAAGTGAAAAATTATGATTTGAACTTTACATTTAGATATTTTTGAATAGTTCATGATGTAGTGTAGACCATATCGATGAAATTTATCAGTAATGTTGATTTACACAAATGGCTTTATTTATCGATTAATATAATGCGATTTTAAACCCTATATCGGAATAACCAAAAAATGAAATTGTGATGAATAATATCTTTGAAATTAATGTTTATTTAGGTCAAGTAATTTGATCACGAATAAGTAGAAATAAATTATTGTCCTACATTTACTTTATATGAATTTTGTATATTCATTAATTAAAATAATTGCTAATTTTATTAGTTAATTATATAATTCATTTTTTCAATAATTATTGTTTATAAAATAACATGGGTATTTTTTACAAACTTTATTGAATATTTACGAGTTTCTATTAGCTAGAAAATCGATTTGCTAATTTTATGTTTTTTCGAACCAAAAAAAATTACACAAAATGTGTACACATTATGAAAATCTCTATAAAATATCTGATAATAATAATTTGATGTGCATAAGTCCAATAAACATTTTTGACCGCCAAATGACATTTTTTTAACTTATTTTTATTGAGAGTCCATAACCGCTGGACCTGCATTCTCAAAAATTTAATCAGTTCTTCATCTTGTCAATACAAGTAAAATGTTTATTGAATTACTAAAACTGAGTTATCGTTTTTGGCACTTTTTGCATCGTATCTTCAGAACGGCTAGACCTGCCTTCGCCAAAAACTATTACAAGCACGCCTCCTTACGAATACGTATCGAATGTTTTTTGAATTATTCAAAATTTGTTCCCGAAATCGCCGGCGAAAATTTGTATCTGCACACCCACACACGCACGCACACATATATATATTCATTTTTTCTAAGGCATGCCAAAATGTTCAAAAACCTTTGAAACTTAAAGATATATAAAAATTTTCGTTTTCGATTTTTTTGCGATTACTATAACTTGCCCTATGGGAAGATAAAAATTGTATTCACACATCAATTGTTTATGAAGTATATGCCAAAATGTTCAGAAAACATTTGAAACGTAAAGATAAGCAAAAGTTTTTAATAAATGTGTACGTTTCAAATTTATTTACTACAATTATATAAAATTATATCTGTTTGCAGATGAGCAACTGGCGCAGGGTGCAATAATACTGCATTTTATTGCTGGCGTTTACTGCTTCACCCTTTTGGCTGTGATATGCAACGACTACTTTATTCCATCTGTGGAATGTATCTGCGAAGATTTGCATATATCGCCGGTTAGTAATATTTTACCATTATTGAATCTTTGCTAAAATTATAATTAAGTATAAATTTTTACATCTACTAATTTAATTAGTAAAATTGAAAGCATCTCGCATAAGCAAAATATGCATTTTAATACACAGTTTTGAGTGTGATATCATTTGAAGCTCATTGGAACAGTATACAAAAATAGAAATAAAAATAATAGAAAAAAGTGATTTTTTCTATTATTATCAACTTAAATGATTTTGATTATTCATAATCTAAAACGCTGATAATCATGAAGAATTTGTTTGGAAAATATGTATACTGGTTTTTAGATATACGAGTATAACAATATTAAGCATTATTTCCTTTTGTTAGAAGTTATTTTGCAAATGGTTTGTAAAAATTTATTGAAGTAGTGCACTGCTTACATATTTAACTGTATACAAATATTTTCACATAAATTGTGTCAGCAACAAATAATATCTATAAAAAATGAAATTTAATATTTTTAATAGAAAGTTAAACTTTGGAGACTAGTTCTAAGATACCTATAACCGGAGGCCCATATTTTCAAACTACAAAGTTGTTCGATTTCATTAACTCTGTTATCAGAAATTTTAAAGCAATTACTTGTAGCACATTTTTAGCCATAAAAAAGCAATACAAAATCGTAAAAGTTATAGTTATCACTACATTTCTCGAAGTATAATAACTCTATTTTCAATATTTAGGTAAAAGCTATAATTGCGTTATCGCAAATGCATAATAATTAGCCGGTACAATGTTTTAAAAAATTTGATCAATTTCTAAATATCTACAGTAGTCTAAGAGCAACACTAGAATCACCTAAAGGTTAAAGTTATTCCATATGGTATTTTTGGTTATGCCTCTGTACTATAGTACAGAGGCATATCTCTATAGAGATGGTTACTCTCTCCGGAGTTATTACTCCGATACAACTTCTTCCTCGGAGTGAATCCGAGTGGAGTTTTTTCACAGGATTTGTCATATCCGACTTCCCTAAACTGGTACTAAATCTGTTAACATGTGCAGATATTTGCTTGAGATTTTTTTCTAATACAAAGATTTTGGTCGAAAGAAGTGGTTCAAAGTTATCGGAGTTGTGGAGTTGTTAAGTGTATATAACTCTTCTTTGAAGCGGAGTCAAATCCTAACTGATCCGGCTTCGGATATGATAAGCTCATCTCTATTCTGTAATATAGTATTGGAATCAATTCGTAGAGTTTTACAAAAAAATAAAATTTTAAAATGCATTTAGGGAAGGTACAAGAGTACAATTTGGCTTTGAGCAATTATATTGTAAAAACCAAAGAGATTATATCACAACAAATAACGCATATCAAACAAAACAACTATATCTGACTATGCTCAGCAAAACTCCCAGTTAATTCGGCATTGTAAAAATTTGATTTGTTGTTGTTACTTTTTTCAAAAAAAATCGCCTGGTCCTCTTTGCCCCCATGGCGGGGTGAAAAGCCAGAGGGCGCATTGGTCAAATCTTTTATTTTTAATTTAAAGGGATTTTACGAAATAATAGCTGTACTATCCACACAATCCTTTTCCCTCTACATTCAAATATTGTTAAAAAATTGTTAACTTTACTTATTTTTGAGATATTGTTGGTGGACCTTTTTACCCGCAGACCTTTAAGACCCACTCTACCCTATATTACAATTCATTATTGTATTCGTAGCAAACATGTAGATGTTTGATGCCTGAGAAATTGATTTTACGGGAGTATTCTTTTATTAATATAAATAATATATGAAGAAATGCGTTGCAAAAAGTCATCGTATTTCAGTGGAAGTATTCGGCAGTATTCGGAAGTTTGAAAATACTATAAAAGCATCACAATGTGATAAAAAATAATACTCAACAATTATAGTAACTTATTATTTATCTTGACAAAGTATCCGATCTTAAATTAGTGTAGAAAATTATTTTTCAATACAACACACCGGATACAGACAATACAGATTATTATAATAATGTAATATGATCTTTTATTAGTTTTTGGTCTTTCTTACTCATAAGTTCGATTTTGGTGAAAAGTAATCAATATAGTGATAATGAATTAATTAAATTGAATATAATTTTGTTAAATTATTAGTTAAAAAAAATATACTTATTGTTTTATTTTATTGTTTTTATTGTTTAGTTGAATATAGTTGTAGTTTTATAAACATTTTTTTTATATTTGTACTAGTAACTTTCAATTTTGTTTACGTTTGTGTAAGATAATAAAAATACCGGTAATTTACCGGTATTCCGGTTTTAAAATGGAAGATTACCGAAATACCGGTATTGAAGTTTTCCATCGGTATTGCATTCCCTAGTTCTATCGAACATCTTCTGTACTATACTGCTTGGATTGTCTGAGCACTTATTCGAGACCTATGAGGTGACCACAAATTCATCGAATCTATAGAAGAATTATTTCGATATGGTAACCGAGTTTTACTAGAAAGATTGCTAAAAAAAACTATTTAGGGATGGAAAATACTCTAAATAACACTACCGTAATAATACTCGATAATGAATTACAAAACTTTGTGAAAAAAACGATATGAATTCATTCTAGCACCTACATAATTACATCATTTGAACCATGCAAAGGGACGTTTTCAAACGATGTAATTTAGAATTATGAACCAATTATGTTATTTATAGTTACTTTATAATGGCAGAAATTAATTAATTTATTTTATTCCAGAATGTGGCAGCGGCTACTTTTATGTCTGTCGCCACGTCCTGTCCGGAGCTTTTTGTGAACGTTATAAGCACATTTGTCACGGAGTCAGATATGGGTTTGGGAACGATTGTGGGTTCGGCTCTCTTCAATACCTTAGGCGTGGGTGCTCTGGGCGGACTTGCTGCAAGTAAGGTATGAATACTAATACTAATATTAGGGAAAATATGGTCAAAATGGTATATGAGGATAAAACGGAATAGTAGCCTTGATTAAAAATTGACTAGTTTTATTAATGTTTTCTCGACTGTATAACATGAATAAATTCATAACTAGTGAGGCGCATGCATTCCAAGTCAATCTAGATCATAATTTTTTCTTAAATTAGGAGAGATTGCAACTGCGCACTCTCTCAAGCATTCAATAGTTTATTTTGCAGACAGCTTCTTTGTTATTTTGTCATTCATAAAATTTACCTAATGTCTATTGGACAGATGTAAATTATATCCAAAATAAAAAAAAGTGAGGCGCATGGCATCGTGCCTTAAGGCAAATTGCAGCAACTTTCCGTACCAAAAATGATTTTTTTTTTAAACATTAACAATTTTAAAAAAAAATTACCCTGAAAAAATTAGATTTTTGAGGAACTAGGAATTTTATTTTGAACTATTTTGGAAATTCTGAACGTGTTTTCAAAGCAATCGTACTGCTTTAACTGCATAGAGACGAAATGTAAAAGCGCGTAAGCGCCGCGTCGCCGTCTAACGGTTAAACATTGGTACGGAACCCATAGGAATCTCTTTAAAATATCTGTTAATTTGATGTGCATATGTCTAATGATCATTTTTGACCGCCAAATGGCATTTTTTTTACTTTTCAACTTCCCGTAGGGCAAGTTATAGTAATCGCAAAAAAATCGAAAACGAAAATTTTTATATATCTTTACGTTTCAGAGGTTTCCGAGTATTTTGGCATATCTTAGAAAAAATGGATGTATGTGAGTATGTGTGATCGGATACAAATTGTCGTCAACTATTTCGGGAACAAGGATCAACCGATTTGAATAATTCCAAAAACATTCGATTCGTATTGATAAGAGGACGTGTTGATTAGTTTTTGGCAAGCACAGGTCTAGCCGTTCCTAAGATACGGGCCAAAAAGTGCCAAAAACGGTAACTCAGTTTTTAAGAGAACGGAGCGTCCGTTTTTAATAATTCAAAAAACGTTTTACTTGTATTGACAAGGTGAAGAATTGATCAAATGTTTATGAAGGCAGTTTCTCAAAAATCTAATTTTTTCAGAATAATTTTTTTTCATAAATGTTAATTTGCCAAAAGTGATTGACAATTAACTTCTACTCTAAGTATGCGAGAAATATTTGCTAAAAACAGACCAATAAATCTACCGGTAACAAGAAAAGACTTGCATTTATTGCAAAACTCTCATTTACCGTTCTGAGTCCAGCAAAGTGATGTTACTTAATGCCCCGAAGAGGACAAAACAATTTATTTGTGAACTACTTTATTGAAAACTAGTATCTTAGTATATCCTTGTTATATGTCATTTTGTACGTACTATCTGGGCAAAATGATTTTTGTAACAAACTGCATTTTCCTTAATAAATATATTATTCTAGTTGCTACTCAATTAAAATTCTTTCTTACTGATAGTCAATGAGTTAAAGATAAATAAACGATTGGCATTGGTTGTAATACCATTAAAAAATGAATATCAATAGAAAACAAAACACCATATCATTTTGTCCATACTTCCCTTATATATTATTTACCGAATGAATTGTGTTTTCAAAATTATTATTTTATCGAGAGAAACAAATGCACAAAATTACGCCAACAATGTAGGCATCAATCCAGCATCTATGAAAAGCGTATTGCGCTTATTTCACAATCAATTAAGATTTTTATCGAAAGAAAAACATGAATAATTTTTTTATTTATTTGAAAATTTTTTAAATCGATAACATAGTTTAAATCTGAATATTATCGCATTTTTTATGCTAATTCCATCATCGTCCTTGTATCCAATCATAATAATTTGCTATCTCTGTTGTTGTATTTATACATAGATATTTTTATTTAAAAATTTATTCAGCATTAATATTTGTTGCAATTCTTACAATTGTTTAAAAACTGTAAAAAAGTGTGTATTTGCTGTGCAATCTGGCGCCCTGCGCGTAAAACAAAACCTAATTCTGGGTATGTGTGTATTAAAGGCACATCAGGAAAATGCGCTCATAATAAAATTGTCAATTGACTACCAATTTATACCAAGATAGGATAGCAAAATAACATTTCTTTTTAATGGAAGAATTGACCCCTTAAGTATATAATTTTTTCGGTGATATAAAATTTAATTTAACTTCTTTTACTAATAATGGTCGATTCACGTAAATGTAGATGTAAGCAACTGGGTGCATCATGTTATTAGCCATGATTCTTTTCTACTACCGATGTAATTGAATTACATTTGTTTTCTTGAATTTTTATTTTATATAGTAATTTGGTTAACTAGAAAAGTTCTTATTTTTAATTCATAAAACACTATTTTCCAACAATCAACGATTACACAGGTTCATAAAAAAATTGTCTGTATTAGGTGTACTGCATTTGTTTGGTTCGTGACTGCGGGTCACCAATTTAAAGTCAAAAAAATTTGGGGTCAAATGACAAAAAAATTTGAAAAGTATAAAAAAAACGACAAAATTTCCGATCTAGTGATCTCCATTACAATTAAAATTTTATGTCTGTTATTATATAAAATTTTATTCTGAGTTTCTATTAAATAAAAGTAAGTTTTTTTATAGTTCAGCAGTAATTTGCAAACATATTCCCTTCCTCCTGGGTAACTTGCAAACACAGTTGCAATTAAATATTTGAAAATATGTTTAGAAATAACTGCTGTAACTGTAATCTACAAACAAATTTTAATAGATCATTTAATAGACCATCCGGTGTATAACCGGGTACCCGGGTATCCATTGTAACTTACAGGTATAAAATATAATATATTACCTCCTTTTCAGAAAAAATTTTATGGCCATTCGGATCTCCAAAGTTGAAGTAATTTAAGACCCATTTTTGTCATTCTTTTCAAAATTAATTATTTAATAATTAAACGTTATTAACTATGTAACTTGTTACCCTCTTCGTTCAATAACCGGGTATTAATATATAAATGACAAGATTATACACTCTTAAGAAACTGTTTATTAAAGTATTAAGATAATTTGAATTTTAAATGATAATAGACAATATAGTTTGCAATTTTTTTTATTTAAGCAATAATTCTTATTATAAATAATAACCAAAATAGCAAGAAAAACATAACTCCGTTTTCATTCATTTTAGTAATAATTATAGCGTACATCCTTCGCATGTCTTGTTTGTAATACAATGTTCATCACAAATAGGTAAATATTTTCCTAGTTTTGAGACATTTTTCAAATTCACTTTGGACATATTTTTAGCATACACCTGTAATCTTTTTTCTCTCAGTTGAATCGCGAGGTGACTGTGAATGTCAATGAAACAAATGATGATGGCTGCCCATTCGGATTGACAGTTCGACCAAGAATAGATTCAATCGCTACTTTTGTTGAGAAGTGCCTCATAATTTGTGCATTAGGCAAACGACTTTTAATGAATTGAGTACATAGTTCTCTGCCCAATTGCCTATAAAATAATCGTTGTTCGTACGATTTTTTAACGAACATTTTATTATTTTTATAATACAAAATATATGCCGCAAGGCAGGCAATGTCAAGAATGTTGTAGTAAAATGTTAGAGGCCACATGTACTTTTGTTACGTAGTTATAGAATTCATTACAACTCTCCTTCGATAATTCAGGTTGTTGGGTTATAATTTAACACTTGTAGCTGTGGACTGTATTAAACACTGAGTTGTTTGTATATTATGTATTTGTTGCAGTTCTAATTACAATCACTGATTTGTTACTAAGTTATAATAATGAAAGAAGATATATTTATTTTTATTGGTTATTTACATGTTGTTAAGCGGACTTTACTTTTAGAAGTGAACAACTAGTTCAATTAAAACACTCCGCTACGCCCTCTACCAGGGGTAGCAACCATTCCGTGTAAAGCTTAATGCCCTGAAGTTTGTCACCTTCATGGCCAATATATTATAATAAAACGAAAAGACGCCCGAACACCAACTTTTGGTTGATCATTTTGTAGTATAACTATCAAGCATTTTATCCATCGTGTCTACTCCAGCCTGACTTTAGTTATAAAACTCGATAATTTCGGGTTTTTTCTTTTCACTATCACTAATTTTTGCTTCATGATGCATTAATGATAGCATAATTACTAATTTGCTTTAATAGTAACATTTTCTTGAAATCCAAGCATAGTAGATAATTCAAGAAAATAAAAATTTTGCCAGTGAAAAGCTAGTGAAGTAATTATCCACTGTGATGTTGCTACACTAAGTCTTTGACGACTCTTTCACCGACGTTTTTTTCACGATCATCTTTTGATTTCGAGTGTAAAGCTGTCCAGTAAGTGGATACAAATTTTTAGTATCACTTATCCGCTATACTTTAATTCCGTAATTAACGGATTTTGACTGAATGAATCTAGTTCAACCTCGGTATGGATAAAGTTATTCGTCGATTGCTATGTTTTCTGTTGGCTTTGTATATTTTGCTAAAATACTACTCAGCATTGTCCAAATGTCTCTTCAAAACTCATTTCTATAAGGACTATAAACTGTATTCTTATATGTAGCTATTTCGCGACTATATTGCACTAATGACTTGTAATTCTACCACGCTATAGGTGGGTACTCGGGTACCCTGTTATAGAACGAATGGTGAAAGTTTGGTTATTGACCGGACGGTTAAGTGAATTCTAAATAGTTATTTAAGCTCAAAAGCGCTACGAAATGACAGAAATTATAAGATGAAAATTATCATGCAGAATATTTAATGGATCAGAGATTTTTTCGTTATTTTTTAAGTTTTTTTTTCGCCCTTTAACCCCTAATTTTAAGTTTAGATTCGTGTTTAGCGGTAAAAATTACATTGGAAAGAAAACATATGCCGCATACCCAATAAAGACAACTTTTTTGTGAACCTGTGTTAAAAAAAAAATTCCATGAGTACCGTGAAAATTATTCATTATGCGTGCGATCTCACACTGTTTTAAGAAGTTTCATATTGTTAAAATTACTTCAAATATTCGGTATTTATTAACTATTTTGACTGTTTTTAGTGACGTTTGCATAATTATATTTAATCATCTTAACAAAACACCATTAGTTGTTTCAGTAGCATGCAACGTCTTAATTGTTTTCAAAAATGAACCATTAGTTGTATCAGTGGCATGCAACGTCTTAATTGTTTTCAAAAATGAACTGCAAATTAAATATTTCAGCCAATTCTCATGGAGCGATGGCCTTTGGCACGTGATTGCGTGATCTACTCGGTGACGATCGCGATGCTGGTTGCGATTTCTTGGGACGGAGTGGTCTTTTGGTACGAAGCATTAGCACTACTCGTTATGTACATCTTCTACTTCGTTCTGATGTTCCAGAACGACAGAATTCAGAGATCAATCAGGAGACTAGCCACTAAGCTCTGCAGACATAGTGCAGTCGATATCGGAGACGGTAAGAAAATTTCTACGAGCAAAAGTTTTTATTTTAATAATATTCAAATGTGTACTTAATGTGGACTTTTTGTGTACCTATTTAATTACTTTATAATATATGTAATTATATTAGGATGACAAAACAATAGGGAGGAGGGCTTAAAGGTCCGTGGGTGAAAAGGTCCACCACCGATATCTCAGAAATAAGTAGTGTTCAGAATTTTGTAACAACAATATTTGAGGAAAAAAGATGTATAAACACTCACCTTGAATCTTACGACGTCGCTATCAAGAGATAAACGGCAAAGTTTGAAAATCCGTAACATGAGCATTTTCTTTCATTGTTAGTTTATTGGTTAGGAGCACTGTTGTTTAGTATACAAGACCTTACGTTAGATTCAACGGTTTTTTTGTAAATAACCCTCAAAAATCTTGCATGCAGATGAGGTAAACAGGACCAGCTGCACCTTTACCATGGCAAAGGTGTAAACAATAAAACGTAGTGAATAAGAAAGAAAATTAAGTTAAAAAACAATTTAACAAGAAATAAATCGAATAAATAGTTATTCCAACTCTGCTGATAAATATTTTTGACGAAATACTACATTAAGTTCAACATTTGTGTACGTAGAAATACTGAAATATGTACTGTCCTTAAATGCGATATGTGATAAAATCAAATTGTATGAGGAAAGGACGAGTATCACAACCGTTCACACCCCAAGATGCCCACAAAATTACTTAATATTTTGCTTTTAAATAGAAATTATAGTTTAGTAAACCAGAATAAAAAAACAGTAATTTAGTAAAACAAAGATGAATTCTTTATATAAATTTATTTCTTTATATTAAGGGAGACTGGGTACGGTTATGCCAGGGTACAGTAGTAACAGTCGTCATAACAGTTAAACTATGCTGATTTTGAGAAAGAGTCCAAGGAAAAATAAATGTAGTATGATTGGTTGAACAAGTTTCCCTTATTGGTTTCAGTCCTTGCGTTAGCATGATCTGTAGACCGCATTTATTTTAAATAGCCAAAAATTTTTTTTTGTTCGATTTCTTTAATTAATAATTGTTACCCGTATACACATAGATTACTTTGTTTGATATAAATTTTGTGGGTACGGTTACGACATGTATTTGGGTGAAGATTAAATGAAAAAATAAACTAAAACTTAAAGCAAAAAGAAAAGGAAAAGGAAAACTCAATGTAAGAAGAAAAAAGATTTAAGACAGAAATTTCTTGCTATGTTTAAAATATTATATTTTTTATATTTTATGATTATATATTTATAAACTTTGTTAAAATGATCATGTTGTGTTGTGTTACATATTTCTGACAATGAAGTCATTTCTGACAATAAAAGTTATTTTGGTGTTCATAGCTATCGAATTATTCCGGGGGTGTGGACGCTTTTGTCACTTGCCCTTTTCTTGAATGATTTGATTTTTTGACCAATCCATCGTATTTAAGGACAGAATTTAAGTTTTTTCACATAGACAAATATTCAAATTACCATTTGATTCACTTTTCTCCCAGAAAACTGGTTATAAAATTATTGCTGATCAAAAAAAGGGCAAAACCGTGCCCAGTCTCCCCTTCTTTAAATTTTCATTAATGTGAAAAGAGGTTCGTTGTTCGCATGAGCAAACAAGTATCAAAGCCAAAGTCTTACGACGGAAAACAGTTCCTTTACCTGTTCCATCTATTTATTATGTTAGGTGAAATACTCTTTATTTATTTATGCTATGTAATTTATAAAGGAGAGTATTTTAATATAATAGCCATAGATTTACTTCAAGGTGAGCAGTGTCTACCGAAAATAAATCCGATATCTTAATGTTATCCAAACAGAAACCGGCGCGGTAACTCTGGCACTGATGTACTAATTGCAAACAACACGCATCCTGGACGAGATAATAAGACCTGGCGATTTTATGTGATATCTGTTTGCTACATAAATATTGACTTTGGAACTCCGTTCAATCTCAACTTTTTTATAATCGAATCTAAGATAACAAACAAATATTTGCAAAAACCATAAATATTTATATACACAGATATATATATATATATATGTATATATATATATATATATATATATATATATATATAAGCACATATATTTTAAACCATGAGAACATCTAGCTCGTACGATATATAATTTATATATAAACATAAATTATATATAAATACTAGAAGAATGAATACCTTGACTAACAAAAGTGAACAAAACAAAGTATATCACAAGATTATGTATAAAAACAAATAACAATAATGATAACAATAAAATAATGATTCTGATCAAGAATTGTTATCGATAAAAATAAAAACATTTGGAATTTATCTTTCAAATCAAATCTGTAAAATATCTTGTCACCAATCACTAACGGTAGGTGTAAGATGACCTTTGATTTTTCTTTTATACATTACTGACATTGATTTATATTCTTGGTTTTTAACAGGGGTGTAACTACCGCCGTATCAGCCGTATCAAAAATACGGGGCCCCCGTGCCAGGGGGACCCCCAACGTCCGTAAGCAAATATTAATAATAAAAAAAAATACTTCACAAAAAGCGAATTAATCGTGAAAACTTTGTTCAATGAAATTTAATGTTATTAAAAAGAACGCAAGGAATGTAATTTTATTATTTTAAAGATATGTGCTTATATATATACCGGGCCATGGGGGCCTCAAACATGCGCAAAATTTAGTAGAAACTTAAAATTTTTTATTTAATTTCACAAATAGCAAAAGTTAAAATAATCATGAAAACTTACTTCCAACTAAATTTAATTTGAAAAAAAAACATGAGCATGTAGAATATAAAGAGGGTTGTGATAGAATAAAAAACTGGCATTTTATTAAGTCATTTCTTGAATAGATTGTGCAAATTAAAAAATCTGAATTAATTTAGCAATTTGCTAAAAGTCTCGGAAAATTAACAAAGTAATGGAACGTAACGAAAACTATATGCAAAGTATAGCGACCCGTAATCTTATTTCAAACTCAACATTTTGCTAATTAAATATATTAATTTCGCATAATAAACATAGATTTCAGAGACTTCGACTCGATTATTATGTTACTATTGTTGTCCAATGAAGGATACAATACCTTCGGGTAAAAAACCCATGTTATAAAGTGCAATGTACATACTTTTATATACTGAAATATATAGTCTTTGAATTGAATTGAATTGTTACTATTGTTATGTTATTAAAAATTACAACTGGGGTCATTTCGCAACCACTACAGTACAGTAAGATAATCTCTTAATTTTTATTGTAATTGTAATTGTAAATTCTCTAAAAATATGTTTAAAATATGAAATTCAATTTCTATTGCTGACAAAATTCAATAGTTTTGCATACAATTTTCTCAAAGTAATTTTTGCATACTATTTACCCAGTTGCAACTGCAAATGATGAAATTTTCAAAAATATCTTGAAAAAAATGATGGCTATGATCATGGAAATTCGTTTCATCAAAATTCGTTTTATCAAGAAACTATATCAAAAACTATAGACATCATGAGCTATAAATGATTTAATAAATGTGTATGCAGAATTTGAGTTATTTGTAGAAATATTGGTAAGGGCTAGATGAATATTAATATTAAGATTTAATAATTTATTTATTTATTATTTTTATGTGAGAAAATTTTGCCCTACCTGAGGGGGGCCCCAAAAAAATTTTGATACGGGGCCCGGCCAATGCACGCGTCGCCCCTGGTTCTTAAGTTAGTTTCCGCCTCGGACAGCCTGATGTCAAGCAGTAGTGACATCGGTTTCACTTAGAAATATAGATTGTTTTTGTTCATTTACAATCTGTCACATTCAGGACATTCAGTAATTGTTTTGACTTTATTATATGAATTTTTGAATGGATGGCAATCCAGTAGTTGTCGAATACAATTATGACTCAATTTAACTATACTCGATACTCAAAGTGTTTGTTGGCATTTTTTATTATGTTGGCAACTACACCCACGAAAGGCGATGTTCACTTGAGGCTATATTTGAGATCTATAACCTCAAGTGAAAATTTGACATCAAAGTTGCCTGATGTCGGGCTTTGAAATATAGATAGCAATATGTATGTTTCCAAGTGATAGTCTTACGCGGCATAGCAGCTCCAATAAAAAGTTCTTCAATTTGAATCGGTATTACTGTATTACATAAATTGTAATAATAATTTCATTACATAGAGATAACCATTTGGGTTGCTATATGTTGAGTCACGACGTTAGTTATGATTGTTATTAATTAAGTGAACTAAAAAAAGTATATAGGCAATTAAGGCTAAAAAAAAGTATATAGGCAAGAACGTTAGTTAATCATTCAATATTTGCTTGATTATCTCTTTATTTGGCTATCTTAGCAGATAATAGACATTTTTTTTAATATTGCAATAAAACAAAATTGTAAAACTTACTCATTGTAAAATTATGGATGCATGATATTGTGCCTTAAGGCAAACTGCGAAAACATCGCGCAATGAAATTTAAATTTTTTAAAAGTTTCAATAATTTAAAACCTTTTTTTAATTTTGACTTATTGAAAAGCGATCGCGTTGCTTAATTGTCCATACAAATCAAATGTTTTTTAACTTCCCGTAGGGTAAGTTATTGTAATCGTCCAAAAATCGAAATTGAAAATTTTAAAGGCTTTGGCAAAGGCAGGCCCAACCATTTTGAAGATACGGAGCTAAATGTGCAAAAAATGGCATTTTTTTGAGAGAACTAAGCGTCCGATTTAAACGATTCAAAGAACTTTTCGCTTGTCTTAACAAAAGAATTAAAAAATTTTTTTTTGTCTCAACTTTTTTTTTCAATTTTTTTTTTCAAAAAAAATTTTTTTTTTGTAGGTCGAAAATAATTCAGATTTTATTTTTAATTCTGACTAAAGTTCTAATATACTTTGAACAAATAATTTCAACTTTGCAATTCAGTTTATATAAATCTTATAAATATTAGATAATGTTACAATATTAATAATAATCTATTTCAAAACATTCAGTATTCCTCGAACATTTCGTTACGGTACGGGAAGTTCCAGCAATTTGCCTTATGGCACGATGCCATACACCCAACTAGTTAATTTGATTTTAAAAAAAAAAATTTAAATTTAAATCGTTTGATCCGTGTTTACGAATTCGTCTACAAAAAATTGTATCTGCTCGCATAGACACATACATCCATTTTTTAAGTTATGCCAAAATATTTAGAAACCTTCAAAATTCAGATAGATATGCAAAGGTTATTGTAATCGTCCAAAAATCATTACGTTTCAGAGGTTTCTGAACATTTTGGCATACCTCAGAAAAAATGGATGTGTGTGTTTGTGTGGATATATGTTTTTGTCGACGATTTTGGGCGTACGATTTGAGTGGTTCAAAAAACGATCGATTTCTATCGATAAAGAGATGTGCTGATAAGTTTTTAGCAAAAGTTGGTCAGCCGTTTCGGAGATAAGAAGCAGAGCGCAGAAAATAGAAATCGAGTTTTTGAGAGAACGAAGCATCCGATTTGAATATTCCAAAACACATTCAATTTGTAATAATTGAAGAAAGATGTCACGTAACGCGATTGCTTTCGATAAAATAGTTCAATATTTCAAACTATAAAGAAAATAAAATTTCAATTCTAAAAATTTTAATTCTCGGTACAGGAAGTTCCAGCTATTTTCTTAAGGCCCGATGCCATGCACCTTTAGTTCTATTTAATATTAGATTCATTCAAAACAACCACAGTGAAATAGTAATTATTATCTTTTATATTATTTTTCAGATTGGGATAAAAATAACAATGGTGATAGAACTCCAACAAATGGATTGAGCAATGAATGTTTTGTTCAGACTGAAAAACCAAATTCTAATACCCACAATGTACTATCAGTTTATGTCATTCCTGTTGTATGTATTGAAGATTCCGGAAAATGCCAGGAAAAATCCAATTCGATGGCAGAAAATCAGATAGAACTACCGCATACAGGTATTGTAGATAATTTTGTAGAAAACTTAATATTATATTTTATAAGCTATTTTCTACGTTGTGAATATTATACAAAAAATCAGTTATATGCATTACCTCTATTAACAAACACACTTATCTGATTGACACCTTCGACATCAAGCAATTTTATCATATCCTCAGTTCAATAAAATCATTTATAATTTATCTTATCTTTTGTGAGAAAATTATTATGCTTTAGTTCTATTTTTACTGAATAGTAGAAAATTGTCTAAAACTCTCTGATCGTCCAGTTGGAATTGATTATGAAACAATTTCTCTAATGATAAATACCACCCACCAAATTGTACGTGATTGAGAGTTTTGCTAGTTATACCAGAAGATTTATGAGAGTGGTACAATGAAGCAATGTGCAATGTGCAATCAATAACTGAAAATATTTTCACAGATGGAATCAAAATACGCAAAACTTTATGGAAGATCCCGACTGGCAATAATCTGAAGAAAATATGGTGGTTCTACACTTGGCCTATTAAAATGTTTTTGACTATCACCGTGCCAAGCCCCAAAACGTGGAGAAAGCTTTATCCAATAACGTTTATCATGTGCATCGTTTGGATAGGTGTAAATGCATATCTTGTTTTTTGGATGGTCGCTGTGATTGGTAAGAATAAATTTGATAAAAAGATTAAAATGTTGATAAATTCTTGAATTCGTATAATATATGAATTTAGAAATCAATATTGATGATGGCGGTTTTTTACTGCAATTTTAATTGATCTTTATCATAAGATGAAAGCGAAGTATGAAACCGACTGTTGCCTTTTATAATTCATTATGCACTTTTGTTAATTTCCCAGTTTATTTTGTTCAACAATAGTGTACTTAGACCTATTTCAGCGAATAGAATTTGAGAAAGGCCCCTTTTTTCTTATCATTCAAAAAAACATCAGCCAATCAATACGATAGTATTTTAACTCTTTTTTAACAAGTCTTGCAAAATTTCACATACTTCTCTGGCTCAGCAAATGTTTTTTCTTGTAACAAAATTTATGAAATAATGATACACGATCACTTATTTTGCTCAATAGCGCAACAAAAACTTCAGCAATTCTTCATTCTGTTAATACAAGTAACATGTGTCAAATCAAACGCTTCCTTCTCTCAAAAACTGCTTTACCATTATTGGCCCATACCTTCGAAACGGCTGGACTTGCCTTTGCAACAAACAGATCAGAAGTAGGAATCGCATTTTTTTTAAATCATTCGGATTGATCAGTGTTCTCAAAATTGTAGACAAAAAATTGTATATACACATACATACACACACATACATCCAATTTTTTAAGGTATGCCAAAATATTCAGAAACCTTTGATAGGTAAAGATGCATAAAAATTTTCATTTTCAATTTTTTGCGACTACTTCAACTTACTCTACGGAAAGTTGATAAATATAATAATAAAACATTATAGTTGAAATCAACATTTACATATTAAACTAGGCTAATATTTAGTTATAGAATCCACAATTATCAGGCTTTGACAGTAATAACATTTGATCTCATTATTGTACGAATAAATTTAGCCCAACACGTTTTACTATATATTCTAAACAAGAAGTTCTTAAAAATTTGTTTGCTATCAATCATTATTTTTAATTTTTTACCTAAGTTTTCAGTTTTAAAGATGCTTAATCCACAATTATGTAAAAATTTGAAAAATAAGAATGGATAGAAAATGAAACATCTGTTGACCTAATCAATACGATTTGAGATTCAGTAACTTTGAAATATGTAACAATAAAATTTTCAAAATTATTTTTTTCTACTAGAAACTGATCAATGCGATAATTTGTGCAATTAATTTTAATTTTATATATTTTATTCTGCTGCATAAAAATGTTCTTCATTTAAGAGTGGATTATTTTTGTGAACTACTAGTCAGCATAATTCTCAATGAATACCTTTAAATTTCAAAATAGATTCTGCACTTTTCTGCTGACATAAGGCTGAAACGAAGTCCTTAACCAGTTTTGCCTAATATTTTGATTTTGAAAGTCGGTGTCTTTCTTTGAAAAAAAACATCGACAGTGCCAAAATTGATTCTCATGCATTTATACATACATACATTTTTCAAGTTGATGTCAAACCATAGAGAATACCTTAAGATGTCAAGACAACAAAATTAGTAAATCGCATTCTGTGACAAAAGAATAAATTTCTCCTTCGAAAGGATAATAATATCACTATTAATTCCATAAATCAATATTTTAATTCTTATTGTGAAGTATCTGCATAAAACTGAGAAAATAAAATCCACATCAGAATACATTGATAAATTAAATTAATTTTTTGAAATCGGCCCAGCTGTTTTTGAGCAAACGTCAATGAAAGCTCAAATTTTGACAAACGCCACAAAACGATACTAATTTTTGCAACTTTGACGGATTTTTAAAATTAGTGTGATCTATAAGACTATGGTACCTACCATCGAAAAAATCATAAAACTCGTCGAAAAAAAATTTTTTAACACTTTATTACAAGAAAACGGCCCGGCCGATCTTTACCAAAAACTAATCAGCACGATTCCCAACCAATATCTTTTGAACGGTTTTTAAATTTTCAAAATCGATTTAGAATTGCGAACTAAAACGTGGACAAAAAATTTTTTTGGAAACGGCTTGACTATTCGTCGCACAAAACTGAGTCCTCATGGAGATACATCGAATGGCTTTTAAATTTCTGAAATCGTTCAAGCCGTTTTGGATAAAACGTCGATTTGCGGCAAAAAATCTGTTCACAAACACAATCACACGCACGCTCATACTTTTTCCAAATTTGGTCTCATTCGATTCAGAATGGCTTGAAACGTCGAGAAAACATAAAATTAGCGAATCGGATTTTTTGATGGAAGCATAAACTTCTTCTTTGGGAAGTTAATAATAAATCGATGTACATTAAATTAAATAAATAACAATACATTTGCATTCGGAACTTTTATTTAAAAATATTTTTGACTTCAATAACTTCAATATTATGTTTTTTGGTTCTTTGAGTTCAAAAACATATATTGTATACTATTGAATATTAAATTGATTGGAACAAAAGTTGTCTACCCTTGGGTATTATACTTTTTTATTACATGCTGGATCGTTTATATCATTATATTTATTTATAATGCAGATAAAACAGTATTTTAAATTTGTAGTTATATAATGTATTTAATTAACAGTATGTATGTATTTTTTATGAAGGTTATTTAAAAGTAATAAGGTTAATTATTAATTAAAACGTCTGCCATCTAATTAAAATCTCGTTTATTATCTACCAATATGAATTTAATTTGTAAATCAATTATCTAACCATTTGTTACGATATACATGAACATAAAATTTTGTTTTGTCATACGATTACGCACGAAATTCAAGCACATTGAAATATTTTTAAATTGTACTTTTACAGTTTGTGAGCTTGAGATGATTCGAATGAGATTAGATAGAAAATTTGGGAAATCAAGCGTTTTTATCTTTATTATAAAATCTGATCTTTCAGAAGTGTTTAATTAAATTTTGAACATGGGCATGATTATCTCTGGTTCATTGACGTTTTTATTGGATTTTGCGATGTTAATATTGCGGTACTTTATTTATCTGCAAGTTTTATAATTGACATATAACGCGTAAAAATTTGATTTTTAAGATTGATAAAATATAAGTGATCGATTAGTGTGAAATTGACTAGCACAATTTTTAACTCCCCAAAAGTGAAGATTATATTTTTACTGAAAAAAATCAAATTGCTAATTTTTCTACATAGAGCTTAATTTGAATTTGTTCTTACCACTTTGCGCTTTCAGCCGCATTACTATTTGTTGTATCCGTAAAAAAGTTAAACTTTCCAAACGGTATTAAAAAATAATTCTGCTCTGTGTAGGTACATTTCAACTATACTGTGGAAATACGATTATTTGTAATTAATTTTTCCATCTTTACCAAATTCTTTTCTTTCTGATTTAATTTTTGGTAGAATAGAGCACAAAGGTTAGACCATATGTAATTAGACTGTGAAAATTAAGCCAACTACACAACAACAAATGAAGCACATCAAACAATCAACTATAATTCAGCAAAATTTTTGGATGATTAATTGTGGAAACAAAATTCATTCTTTTATTCAGAGAAAAATAGATTTCATTATTTTATTTTTAATTTTATAGAAATTGTTTAATATTAGCTACTTTATTTAATACATACGATTTTGAATTTTGAAATTGACTTTTTAACTTCCCGAAGTTTATGTTTTCATCAAAAAATCCGATTCGCTAATTTTATGTTTTCTCGGCGTTTCAAGCCATTCTGAATCGAATGAGATCAAATTTGGAAAAAGTATGTGTGTGTGTGTGCGTGTACGTAAACAGATTTTTTGCCGTGAATCGACATTTTCTCAAAACCGGCTGGACCGATTTCTAATTAAAAGCGTTAATTTAGATTCGATATATCTCGATGAGGACTATCGTTTCTCAGTTTTGCGATACGAGCGGCCAATCCGTTCTTTGTAAATTGTAGAAAAGTGAAAAAAAATTCATCCACGTTTTAACCCGCAAATTTGAATCGATTTTAGAAATTCAAAAACCGTTTGAAATATATTGGTTGGTATTCGACCTGATTAGTTTTTGCTAAAGATCGGCCGGGCTGGGTTTTTGTAATAAAGTGTGAAAAAGAACGATGATTTTAATGATTTTTTTACGGTAGATAGATACTGTAGTCTTATAGATCATACTAATATATTATAGCCCTGCGGCAACTCGTTAAAATTTGTCAAATGTTTAATAATTAGTATCCTTTTTTGGCATTTATCAAAATTAGACCTTTGATAGACGTTTTCTCAAAAACGCCTGACCCGATTTCAAAAATTTAAAAGTCATTTTGACTACCGTTTGTCCTCGATCTGCTGAGCCGTTACTTTGTAATTTGAAAAAATGTGGTAAACTTTTCGTCCCCATTTAAGCTCACACTACCGAATCGATTTACAAAAATCAAAAACGGTTCGAAAAATATTAGTTGGGAATGATACTGATTAGTTTTAGGCGAAAATCTACCGAGCCGTTTTCTTGTAATTAACTGATGAAAAAAAAAAATTGGCCTATTTTATTAAACTTTTTTTGATGATATATATCATGGTCTTATACAACTTATTGAAAGATTACGGCTTTGCGACAAGTAACTTAATTTTAAAATTACATCAAAGTTTGAGAAAATTAGAAGTTTTTTTAAAATTTGTTTGGTAAAATTAAAATTAGACGATTTACTTGTTATAACGATAAAGTACTTAATAAAAATTGTTGATTTTTGAAAATTTTCTTTTAGAAAGTATTCCGAGTTAACGTATTCGTTCGTTTTCAATTATGTGTAATGATTCCACTCGGAATCACTCATACATTAATTTTTATTGATTACGTCGATTATTAACACATTTCGAAAAGTCCATGTAACTTGCCTCGAGAAAAAATACCAATACCAACTAGTATTATTTTTAATTTTATAAAAAAAAATTGTTTAATATTAGCTACATTATTTAATTGAAATTGGCTTTTTAATATTTTTGAAATTTTTAATTTTTTTTAAAGCGGTTGCGCTGCTGGGCTATTTTAGGGGCGAAATATTAAAGCGCGCACGGGCCGCCTTGCAGTATTTCGGTTAAACATTAAAAATCTTGATTCGGAACCCATGGACCCATAGAAAAGGAAACAAAATTTGTTCTTATTAGTAAAATTTCCGTAAAATATCTGATAATTTCATGTGCATATGTTTATTGATCATTTTTGGCCGCCAAATGTCATTTGTTAACCATTTTTCTGCATCCCCGAAACGGATAGACATGCCTTCTTGAAAATCTTCTTGTAATCGGATGCTCCATTTGCTCAAAAATCTAATGTCTATTTTTTGCACATCTTGCCCCGTATCTTTGAAACGGCTGGGCCAAAATTAGCACCCCTCTCCATCAATCAATTTGTTGATACGTTCTCGTGAACGATAAATTGTATCCTAATATAATTACATACATACTATGCACATACAAACATTTTTTTAAAGATATTATAAACTGTTTAGAAGGCCTTGAAACGTAAATATATAAGGGGAAGTTCCGTAACGCCGGACGGTCCAAACACCGGACACTCTGTTTAATACGTATTATTTAAGCGAGTATAAATCTTTTCATTTCAAAATACAAGTGAAACGGGCAAAAGGGGCACACAGGTACAGGATCACGTGCCAAGCCTCGCCTGTGACGCACACGGCCACGGCGAGAGCAACCCTTTCCTGTTTTAGGCGCAAAAACACGACGTCACCTATATATCAATGGAAGTAATTCTAGCATATTTATGCATTTATATTTGAGTGGTATGCAAAGATAAAAGTTCTACTTGATTGTTACCCATGAAATGGTAGAATATTATTAGATCTTTAACCAATTTTAGTAGGTACCACCAAATGAACGAAAATTTCTCCCTTAGCACCGGACACTAAGTCGTCCCTTAGTGCCGGACAGTAAACATATTGATATTTTTTGTGAGAATTTACGTAATTCATTCCAATTATTAAATTTTGTTCTGTCTGAGTGCTAACGGTCACAACATACCCCCAATTCTTCGTATTTCCTAGTCAAAGAATGAAAATCATATGATGAATGCTCCAGCTGAGAGCATCGGTAAATATTGTTTTTTTTTGCAATATCTAAGAATATTCGTCAAAGACACATGTGCAAACATTCCAAAGTGTGGAGATGGCTACATATGTGATCAATGCAGGTTTATTTGAAATGTCCGGTACTAGGTGCCACTGTTTAAAATCATATTTTTTGTTACCAAAGTTTGATTGATAGTATTAATTACTTTTTAGCAAAGATTGCGGTTTTGTTAATTTAGTTTAATTTCTAACTTTGTTATCTAGCATAAATCATAATTTAATAAACATTTCGTAAAATATTTTTTGATTTATTTATAAATAACCTTAGGTGTCCGCCACTTGGAGACTTCCCCCTATACAATCTTACATTTTTGTATTTTGTAATTACCATAATTTAAGCTACATGAAGTTGATGAAATTGTTACAATTGGTATCAACGATTGGTATTGTGTGATACTCACTTGTTAAACAATTTAGAGCATAAACCTATACAAGTTTAATAAATTTTGATACTTATTTTGTTACTCGTATCATAATAGTTATTTTTCTTATTTTGCAGGAGTTACGTTAGGTGTACCCGATTCTGTTATGGGAATGACATTTTTAGCTGCCGGTGGATGTCTTCCAGAAGCAATATCAATAGTGATAATGTCACGAAAAGGTATGAGTACAAATAACTGTTTTGAGAAGAGTGCAAAACTTCGGACCGTCATAATGTAAAAGCTTATTATATTTTGAAAACGTATTATTTGTTTGTTACAAAAAAAGTAACATTTATAACTCTTCTGTGGTAGATAAAATATTATTATTAAGACAAATTATTTTGCACGATCAGATTTTGTTAGGTATGATCAAGTTTTTAAAAAAATCTTGAAATGTGCAATAAAACAATGACTTTGGCAGTTCAGTTGGTTGAACGTTCCATAAAAGTAGAGCGTAATGCAAAGCAGCGCTAAATGAGGCTATCTTTGCATGGAAAAATTGGGGTTAGGGGAGGAAATTGGTTTGATATTAAATTTAGAAAGTATGATTTTTTCATTAAGAAATAAAACTAAACATTTATTACTTAAAACCTAATAAAAATTTTTGAAAAACCTAATAAAATCCTAAGTCAGTCATATTTAGTTAGCTTTCCGCGTATTCAGTGTTTTGCCTTTTTATGACAAAAGCATATAATGTTTCACTTTTTCTTTTGCGTTGTTCTCTTAAAAGTTCTTCATAAACAGATAAAGCATCACTAACATCACGCCTTACTTTTGAGCTCTTGTCAAAATTCGGAAAATTTTCAATGAATTGATCCATCATTTCAGTTATGGTAGACAAACTCCTATTTACAATTGCCATCAAAAATACTTTTTGCTCTTCGTCTGAATCACTGCTGTCAACATTTGTGCTTTCTTCCAGTTAATTCCTTGAGTTCATTCCTTGAGTTCATCATTAGAAGTACTGCTCTGGTTCTTGAATTATTTCTTCGACATCTTACACATTTACCCTTTCAAAACCGGGATGAAATAAAAGAGCGCTAAGCCGAAACAGCGTTAAGCGGGGTATTACTGTATGTCCTGCCTGAAGGCAAAATTTTTTATTTTAATTTTGAGCAGCAAACAGAACTTAAGAGTTCTATAAGATGTTGGGCTGTAGTCCTACCTCTCTGTGACAAATTATATTATATATTTATTGATGCAGCAATACCGGGATCAGGGCTATTTTTATATAGAAACATATTTTGCTATCTATATTTCCAAATGAGGCTCGCACGTAGGTAAGCGGTTAAAAGCGACGGGACTTAATTCAGAGGTACCGGGTTCGATACTCACTTGGAGCGGCCTGTTGTCAGGCAGCAGTGACGATTTTCACTTGGAAATATAGATAGCAATATTTTCAAGTGAAAATAGCCCTCAAACGGCATTGCTGCACCAACAAAAAATATTCGCCTTGTTACAGAAATTGTAATACTAATATATCGTACAGAGATGTGAAAACTGATTGAGTTGCCATCTGTCAAACAGACTAATATTAATTCAATATTAACACAACTAGATCTATTATCTCTGTTCAAATAAAAAAAGAGTGCGCGTAAGGTTCACACGCCATTGAAGTAAAACTTATTTGCTACTGTACACAATGGCATTTAAGTAAAAATAAATACATCATATAACAATTTTGAATAATGTTTATTAGTAATGTGGTAACACTAAATTAAAATTATATATTTATAATAGCATTAAAAATATGAATATTCTTTAAAAACAATAATGTAATTAAAGTCAACTTCAAATATGACATGATCCGATTGTCATTGTAATTAGCATTTAGAAATGAACCCTCATTAGAGAAATAAAGTAATTGCTGATTAATAAATTCTATAATATTCGTTCACACAGTGGATTATATTAAACAACGCCTAAACGAATATTGTTTTTTGCAACTTCACTCATCATGTAATAATTGTGTTTGAAGAACTTCATGTAATTAAAATTAACATACATTCATTGACTGATGGTATTTTTTTACTTTTTTGCTGGGGATATAATCTCGTTCTTTGAAGATCTGTAATATCTGCTTTGCCTAAAAAATATTTTCTATTTCAATAACTTCAAAGATTTATAGAAACTACGAATAATATAGAAATTATATCAATAAACTTATTATGTTTCATACACGGCGCAAATGCTGCATTTGTTTTATTGTTTTCATTATATAATAATTATTTACGGCGGACAGGATAAAATATTCTTCTTATTCAGGCATTTTTTATTAAATCAAGATTTGTACTACGATGTAACTTTAAAATGTTTATTTATCTATGCCGATTTACTTGTTGATATCGGTACGCATACAACGACAGATTCTATTTACATACGCGACGACTAATCACAATCGACCCGCATAGAAATGATATCATAGGAAACGAATGACGAATCTTTGGCACTCGACTCTTATCTCATCTTAACTTCCATTGCATTTGTACGGATTTACACCCTAGTCGCGCCTAAAGAAGTTTTACTTCAAAAAAAAAACAAATAAAAACCGTTATCACTACCCGAAAACAGATTTATAGCGAAAACAGAGACTTTTATTTTTTTTTCCTCTTGTTTATCCAATTTTTTGTAAGTACTAAATTTTTGTTTTTAAATGTTCTATTTATGTAATCAACCTTCTAATTGACTCCATTATACTTGAATCATCTGCTCTGCAATTAATTCACTATTATTAACTTCCCGAAGAAGAAGTTTACGTTTTCATAAAAAAATCCGACTCGCTAATTTTATGTTTTCTCGACGTTTCAAGCCATTTTGAATCGAATGAGACCAAATTTGGAAAAACTATGTGTGTGTGTGTGCGTGGCACAAACAGATTTTTTGCAGTAAATAGCCGTTTACTCAAAAACGGCTTGACCGATTTCAAAATATTAAAAGCCATTCGATGTATCTCGATGTGGACTATTGTTTGTCAGTTTTGTGCGACGATCGGCCAAGCCGTTTGTTCGTAAATAGCAGAAAAGTGAAAATTTTTTTTGTCCACGTTTTAGCCCGCAATTCTGAATCGATTTTGAACATTCAAAACTCGTTCGAAAGATATTGGTTGGGAATCGACCTGATTAGTTTTTGGTAGAGATCGGTCGGTCCGTTTTCTTGTAATAAGGTATTAAAAAAAAATTTTTTGTCGATTTTTATTATTATTTTTTTGACGGTAGATACCATAGTCTTCTAGATCATACTAAAATATTACGGCCCTACGACAACTCGTTTAGCTTTAAAAATTCGTCAAAATTTGCAAAAATTAGTATGGTCTTTTTGGCATTTGTCAAAATTAGAACTTTCATCGACGTTTGCTCAAAAACGCCTGAACCGATTTCAGAAATTTAAAAACCATTTGATGTATCTCGATGAGGATTATTGTTTCTCAGTTTTGTGCGACAAGCGGCCGAGCCGTTTCTTTGTAATTTGGAAAAAAGTGTTAAACCTTTCGTCCACATTTAAGCTCATACTACCGAACCGATTTAAAAAAATCAAAAACTGTTCGAAAGATATTAGTTGGGAATGATACTGATTAGTTTTAGGTGAAAATCTACCGAGCCGTTTTCTTGTAATTAACTGTTGAAAAAAAAATTAAGCCGATTTTCATGGAACTTTTTTGAGCGATATATATCATGGTCTTATAGAATATACTGAAATATTACGGCCTTACGACAAGTAGTAAAATGAGTAGTTCTTTTGACATTTGTTAAAATTAAAATTAGATGATTTACCTGGTATAACGATAAATGCTTGATCTTAATGAACATACTAATCAATGAAAGTCCTACAAAAAACTGGCTCAATTATTAAAATTATTGATTTTTGAAAATTTGCTTTTAAAAAATACTCCGACCGGGTTGACGTGTTCGATTTTCAATCATGTGTAAAAAATCCACTTCGAATACTTTTAACTACTCATAAATTAATTTATCTATCATGAATTAAGTCGATTATTTACACAAATCGGGAAGTTCATGTAACTTGCCTCAAGGCAAAATACCAATACCAACTAGTTTATAAATATTTTATATATGAAAATAATTTTATTTTTTAGGCTTGCGTGTGATTTTCTTACTGAATACTTTTTGCCTTTAGTAGTTTCTCTTTTTTGTGAGTACGTTCAATCTATTATATGTTGTAGTATCTACATCAACATTTATTTATGTATTTATTTAATTCGTATTTACTTTCTTTTATCTTTTAATTAGAAAATAATTCTGGTTTTACTGACAGGAGTTATATAAATAATATTATGCACCTCACCTCATTAAGTTTTTCTTGGTTAATATAACAGGAATTGCATGTAAAAGGATTGCTTAGTTGATCTTTCCAAATAGCGCTCACTCTTTTCTAAATACATCATATTTGTTTTTCATCCAATTACTTTTCTAACATTCATATTTATTATTTTCAGGAAAGGGTGGCATGGGCGTATCGAATTCTCTCGGGGCCAATACATTGGCGGTATTGATGTCATTAGGAATGCCTTGGTTTATCAAAACCATCAAACACGGAATTGGCAACCCAGCACAAGTTTATATCGATTCCAGCGGCGTCGTTTACACTATAATTGGACTACTTTTAGCAATCTGGTCATTGTTCTCTATACTTAGCATTGGTGGATACCAAATGAGTAAAAAGACTGGATTATTCTTGATGTTAACGTACTTAGTATTTGTGATCTTAGCGATATTATCCGAAATGGGTGTATTTTTTGAACAGTGCTGATACCTTATATATATATATATATATATATATATATTTCTAATTTAAGTACTGAATTTTGTAAGTATGATATATATATATATATATATATATATATATATATATATATATATATATATATATATATATATATATATATATATATATATTCTCAGATGTGTTTGTAATATATGTATTAAGATGTAAACAAAATGCCTAACATGATTATTTATTAATCGACCTAAGATTGAAAATTTATTTTAATTAAAAAATAAAAAATGATTATTTAAGTTAAATATTTTTTCTGACAATAAATAGATCAGATATTTGAAAATTCTTTTATAAAGATTAAGTTAGCTTGTAAAATTATTTCTAGTCGTTGTATTTTTATCATCTTGTAAATAAATTCACTAATGCAAATTTGTCTATGAAACTATAATTTATTAAGAAATGTCAAATGAAATTATTTTTATTAGCTATTCTGAATCGAATGAGACCAATTTTGGGAAAAGTATGTAAGTCTGTTTTGTGAGCCAATTTTGTGCCTTTTGTCGACTTTTTCTCAAAAACAGCTGAACCAATTTCAAAAATTTTAAAGTCATTCGAGACATCTGGATAAGTTCTCGCATTGACTAACTAGGCACAAGGGTCGGCCAAGCCGTTTATTTTCTAATTAGGAGAAAGTGAATAAAATTGCGTTGACGTTTCAACCCGCAATCCTGAATCAATTTTAGAAATTCAGAAACCTTCCGATAGATATTGGTTGGGAATTGTGCTGATTAGTTTTTGGTTTAAATAAATCTTATCTTTAGAATCGGCTCATTCTTCATAATTCACTACTGAAAAAAAAATCGGCAATTTCGTTGAAACATTTTATGTTCAGATATCATGGTCCTAAAAAACATGCTAACTTTAAAACTTTAAAATTTTGTTTGAGTTTATAAAAATTGGCAGAGCTTTTTTGACGTGACGAGTGATGATATTTAACATGTCGATAGAGTTCATTCCCTAAACGGATATGAGAAGCATACGAAATTAAAAATATTAAATTACAACTAACCCCAACTAACTTCAGATGTAATTTTTTTCACATTTGTGGCAATCAAGTCAGCTTTGACATCCGGATGATAACAAAACATTCTCATATGCAATATTTTGCAATATATTTTCATATCTGCAAGAAATAAATTATTATAAATTAACACGTTTTCACATTGGTGAACAACGACGATGAATTAAAGATTGCAAATAAGCGTGAATCAAGAATTGCAAAATATAGACAGTGGTGCTTTACGCCTGCCCACTGGTCTTCCGTAGTCCGATTTATCAAGTACGCCTAGTTCTTGGGTTACTGCGGGGTATTATATTTTCTAGCCCTGATCACAGGACTTCTGTAGCTCTAACCACCGGCTAGTCTTGGCGTACCTATCCAGTACGCCAAGACTAGCTAGTCAAAAGTCACACAATTAAATACAACATATTTCCGATCACTTTCAAACAGGTTTGACGTCGACACTAAGCGCGGAGTGATGTGACGATCAGGTCAGCGTTGACATCCGGAGAATAACAACATATTAAATATGACATTGTATATAATATTTTTGTAAACAATATTTTGAAATTTCAATTGATAATAATTTATTATCAATCAACACATTTCCACACATGAATCAAAATAACTATTTTAACAATTTAACATTCACAAAAATCATTGCACATTAGCAAAGATTGATAAATTTGAAACATAATAATACCAGTGGAAAATTCATGGATGAAGCAAAAATCAGTTTTAAATGGTATATCACAAATAAAAAATATGTTTCTCATTTGATTCGCGTTTCTATCACAAAATTTACAAGAATTGTACATAATTCGTTAATATGGGTATATTTGCGGCCTTTCTTGAACAGACCAACATTCTTATTTTGAATATTATTAAACACATGAGTCAAAAAAAAAATCAATTTTTATTAGTTTTAAAGCGCCAAAAACTTCAAGAATGTCTATTAAAAGTCATATACTCGATCGTAAGATATATAAAATTAAGAAATTGTGACTTCTTACCCCTGTTACAATAAACCCCGAGCTCTTCTACTTTATTTTTCTTAGTAATGATTTATACATTTCTATCTATATTCTTACTCTATAGAATAACATATTTGGAAAAGACGTAAGGAAATAAGAAAGTTATAATTTTAATATTTAATTAAGATATTTTCTTGCAAAATAAACGCTGAGCCTTAGAATTTTTGAAAAATTTAGCATTATGGATATTGCTCTGAACACAATAATACTGAGAAAATGAGGATGGTTAATAAAAAACGAAGATTTCTAATGGCGTCATAAACAAATTTTGGTTAAATGGAAAGAAGTGCAAGCATTTCTATGAAGCTCATATTCGAGTTTCACTCTCCTTATGGATTTTTTGGCATCTATATATCTAGCCGGACACAGAGCCTTTGGATCTAGCACGAGGACTCACTCTTTTTTTCTGGATGTCAAACTCACATAACCACAAATACTATTCAATGAAGTATTTATAATTTTAATATGCTGTAATAAATGCAATGAAAGTTCGCTTCTATATATTTTATCTCAGTCGCTAAAGGCAACCTTAACAAATGATACGCTCTTTATTTTCGCAGGCCATAGAGAAGGAAGAAAACCAACAGCAATCGACAGGATTCAGAAAGATGACCTCTTCTTTGAATATGACTGAATTTACTTGTTTCTTAATAAATATTTTGATTTTAAATATATATTTTTTTAGATGACCATTTTTTTACTACTGGACGAATTAATTTGATTAACAACACACGTGCCATTTGCGTATGTTATTAGCTAAGTATTTGGCACCATATTGTGGTAATACAATGCGTAGCAAATTTAATCATATGGATCAATTAACAAATTAGTTATCATATGTCAGGGCATATAGGATTGACATAACATAATCTCGTATTTGAACTTCAATTTATAAATTAGGTGCCTTCTCGGCTTATTTACTTAATAAATGCGCTCCGAGGCTGCGCGCTATAATCATGATGCCTTCTGTTCATTTAATTCGTTCGATTCATTCGAAATGTTTTCGGTTATGCGTTTGCACGCTCATACTGCGATCTGACCGCTGGAAATAGATATTTTAAAGAGTTCATTTTAATTATGGTTTAGTGACGCATTGTTTTTAAAAAAGTTGAAGCTTAATCTTACAATTAGTGAAAAGTGTAATTCTCATTTTTGCTGCATTATATTAATGTTATGAAATGGAGGAAGGTATGATTTCTTTAAAGATAGTATCCATAGTATCACAATCATTAAAACTAGTAGCGAAGTAGTCAAGTAGTACATCGTGCCTTAAAGCAAATTGTTGGGACAGGAATACCGTAATTAAAAATTTTTGATAGCTTTAATTTTTTTTAAATTAGGAAAGAATTAATTTTTGAAAGTTTTGAAATGTTTGAGTGTTTGATATTTTTGAAACAATTTGAAAATTCTGACTTTTCAGAATTTCAGATTTCATTCACAGAGCTTTCGATTCCTATTGATGAGGAGACGTGCTGATTAGTTTTTGGCAAAAGTCGGTCCAGCCGTTTCGGAGATATAAACCAAAAGGTGCAGAAAATCGAAATTAACCCTTTTCACTCGGATGCCGCGGCTCAAAAATTTATATAGATATCAGAATTAGCGAGTAGAAAAGGTTAAATTTTTCAGTAAACAGAGCATCCGATTTGAATCATTCATAAACTATTTTGCTTTTGCGGACAATGTAAAGAAACGATTAGTTTTTAAGCAAAGCAAAAAAAAATTTAATACTGAAAATGATATGGATTTTAATTTTTTTTTCTAGATGGAATTCTAAAGTTTACTTATGTATTTCAAATCTTATATATAAAAATGAATTGCAAAATGTGTTGGTAAGCGCATAACTTAACAACGCCTTGACCAATTTGGCCAATTCTTTTTTTAAAATGATTGTTGAAGTCCAAGAATAGTTCTTACGTCGAGAAAAAATCGAATAATTGCCGCGGAAATCCTAAAAACAGTCCTTTTCTTTTTCTCATATAAACGTTTTCTAACTAAACCGTAGAATCAATTTGAGCTTTATTGCTATTAAAGTTCATATTAAATTACTAGCACTCACTGTATCTTGACAAGAGCCTGAAATAATATCTAATATTATTGATTACGGCTTGCTTATAAATAAATAAATAAATGAATAAATATACTCTTTCTAAACGTTATTCGGATTTTGATAAATCTTCCTGAAGTTTGTTAAGGAAATTTTTTAGGATGTATGTGATTATAAAGTACTGGGATGTATGTGCAATATTGTAGAAATAAATGGAAAAAAACGACATGTCATTGTTTGCATTGAAAATAAATGAAAACTATCATCTGCCAAAAATTTCAATATATTTATGAACCTAGACAATATTAGAATATGTATAATAAATGTATGATTATGAATAAGAGAAATGAAATGTCTACAATATTATTGCCGAAAAGCAGCAGAGATGTGCCAGAAATTAAAATAATATAAAATACATTATATGTGTGGCAGATTGAATTATACACATATGAACAAATATGGCAATTTAATTCACTTAAAATATGAAATTAAGTATTAATCAGCCTACCTTTAATGCGATGCATTCGAAAAATACGAGCGCACGCCTTAGGAGGCACCAACACAAGATTCGGATATGAAATTTTCAATATGGGTTTTTCTTCAATATATAATTTCTTTGCATCTTTTACTAATCTTTCCACAATATTTTTAAAATTCATAAAAAATTCACTTTAGAACAACAAATGGGAAAGTAGAGATGAATACATACAATTCGGCCCACACGATATCGATTAGGAGAAGTTTAAGATACAAATTTAGATTCCTTAAATAATTAAAAATTAAATTAATTTAATCCAAAATGAAGAACCAGTGTTATGTTATGGTTATAGTTATGTTATACCGTTTAAAAGACTTCAATTTCCAATATAGTTTGGGAATTGAGACTCATCATTTT